CTTAAATGAATCTGGTGTTAAATGTTTTCCATTATTTAATAATAGTTATTACACAAATAATTTCCACTATTTAATATTTGTTGGAAAATTAATAAAACTTCAACCATTTCCTTCTGTAATTTTGAAAAATAAACTGTAATTACAGTAAATTACTAATTCGTTAATTATTTATTGCTTACAGTTGTTCCATTAATAATAATGACTATTACACAAATAATTTCCATTAGTCAATTATTTCTGGAAAATTAATATATGTTCAAAATTGTTAACCATTTATTTCTGTAATTTTGGAAAATTTTATTACAGTAATTAAATAATTAGTTCATTATTTATTGCTAAAACTTATTACACTAACAACTATTGGAATATTTATTACAAGAATAATTATTCCTAGTGTAATAATATTTATTAAATTAATGTGTATAATTATTTCTTGAAAAAATTATTTCCTTTGACTAAAACAAATAATAAAAATCAATTTCAATTAATTATTGTGTAATTAAAGCAAATAGTTTCAGTTATTTGATAGTTTTAGGGAATTAATTTTAGAAAATCAAGAATTAATAGTTATTTAAAATATCTGACAGTTTCCTAAAAATAGTAATTAATTAAATTTATTAATATTTCATCAATTTGAAAAAAATAATTTCCCATAAATAAAAAAAATAATTATTATTTATTTAATGACTTTGGTGGAAAATTAATTCCAATAATTGTTGATAATTGTCAATTACTAAAAATTATTAGAAATTTGTGTAGTTTATTGTTAATTAATTAATATATAATGTTATCTACTTGGTTTTTTTTTTCAATTCATAGAAGTTATTGTTATTTTTATTTGTTGTAACTATTGTTGTTGTTTAATTTTTAAATCATTAATTGTTGAAAATTATCAAAAATTAGTGTAATTTATTATTATTTTATTAATTAATATCTTTTTATCTACTTTGCTTTTTAAATTATTTTCATAAACTTTAATTATTGTTGTTATAGATTTTTTTTCATAATGTATTGTTATTTTCTGATTTATAACCATTATTTATTGAAATATATCAGAAATTAGTGCAATTAATAACCATTTGAACTATCACGTGGTCAACTCTAGGTCTGATTTGCATGAAACCTGTCAAGTCCATTCACCTGGTACTTAACAATTGAACTATTTTAACATGTTTGGCCTAGTCACTAGGTCATTGGTCGTACACTCAATCTTTGTGCAAAATTTTTGGATGACATAACTTTGCACTTGGATGTCTGATTGTGTTGATTTTTTATTTTTGGGTAACTTTTTGGGATCTATGTGTCTACCCGACCTGTTAGCTTTTGGACTTCTTTAATGGACCTAGGAGGTCACATGTCTAAGATGGCTTGGATTTTCTTGGGGTTGGCTATGATGCCACATCGGTTCACTATGTAATCGAAGAACTTACCTGACATGACACTAAAGACACACTTATTCGGGTTGAGCTTCATGTTATACATTGTTAGAACGACGAATACATTGTTCAGGCCGTCCATTAAATCTTTAGAAAATTTGATTTTTTCTACCATGTCATCGACGTAGACTTCTACCTTGCTTCCAATTAAGGGGAGAAAATTTTATTTACAAGTCGTTGGTAGGTCGCCCCTACGTTTTTTAAGCTGAATGGCATGACATTATAGTAGTAGAGGCTTGTTTTGGTTTCAAAAGCTATTTTTTCCTAGTTAGTAGTGTCCATCGGATTTGGTTATAGCTGGAGTAGGCGTTCATGAAGCTTAATAATTCAAACCCTGGGGTCGCATCTACCAGTCGATCTATCCTAGGGAGTGGGAAGCTATCCTTTGGGCAAGTTTTATTCAAGTCGATATAGTCGATGCACATACACTATTTCCTATTAGCTTTTTTACGAGCATTACGTTCACAATCTAATGCACATGCGCCATTTCCTATCCTTTTTCGTAGCAGTTCCCGTAGACGACGCTAATTAATGTTGTACAAGAGAATAGTATCAGAGTACTTAAGTTGCTTTACTTGGAGTGGGCACTCCGATGCGTAAGTCGGCAAAGAGTTGTTGTGAGAGGTAGAAAGCAGGAATGCTAAAGTGTTGAGAACTAAATTGTCCGTACCTCTTCTAATTGAAGGGGATGCCTTTATATAGGTGGAGGTAGCTATGACCTTCACGTAACGTGTTTGAGATCTCTGGGAGGATGTGGCCATAGCATGTCCGAGATCCTCAGGAATTTGTCCATAATGTTTAGGAGCAATTTCACAGCCGAAAATTGAAACCGTGTAGATTAACTCCGAAATGGGTGACGCGAATGTAGGTCACCAGCTGGTTTTCTGTCAAGTTGGCAGAGATAGGTCGCCTCTTATGCCGTCAAGTTGGCAGAGGTGTAGGCAAGTCGATCATCACGTCATGTATGTTGCTACGTGGACCTCAATCAGGTCGGTGAGACTTTGATGAGGTGTCTCTAACTCAGTCCTAAGGTGGCCACTCAATCCTAATGAGGTGTCTACAAGTCGGCCATTGCGAAGTGGTGAAGTGCCCTCAAGGCATGCGAGGCGCACTCGACATGGTTCCGAGATGGTCTCCGTCATTTTGGTTGAGGCAAATCATCGTCTACATGGTGCCAAGGTATCATGTGACAATTCTAGGATTCCACATGGCATGAACCAAATTTCCCTTCATCAATGCTTATCGAAAGATTTTGATAAAATAAATCATGGGAGTTAATGAGTTCAATTTCAAGTTAGTAAAGCGATGCTTATTGCAGGAATCTTATATAATACCCCAACTGGATGGCTCTGTTAATGCGTTGGCTCATTGAACTGCAAAGTAATTTTTTCCAACCCATGATTCAGTCAGTTGAACAGCTGAACCGTTTGACTTGGTTAGTGAGTCATAGGTCAGATATCAAATTTGTTTTTCTATTTCTTATGTATTTTTAGCTACTTCTAATCTATCATCAATGGCAATAATTCTCATTTATTATATTTATTTTTGTTTAATACAATAATTATATAACAATAAATACATGCTCCAATTTTCTACAAATTTTCTTTTTTTTTTTCAATTTTCAATTTCTTATTTTATTATTTAATTTATGAAATCATAGATTGATTCATTTGACTGGAGCAGTGAAACAGCTGATCCTCTATCAGAAATAAAAAAAAAAAGTTTTGGTTTCATGATCAATCCTGAAAATAGTGTTAAAAAGTAGCTAGTAACCATTAATATTACAAATTAAGATATATTTATCGTTGAAAGCACAATATGGGTAGACATACAGGGCTGATCAATTAAAACCAAATATGAACAAAGACATGGATATATAAATAGAACTTAACACTGATTCTTAATAGAAAAGAAAAAAAATGACTAAGACACAAGGTAACATGACGACTTAATCATGGAGGATAAGGAAATACTACACACGGACGATGCCCAAATAATAAGGTTTTCCATCCGTTGATAAGATAATTAAACTAGTGCAGTACTTACGGCTTAAACTAGTGCAGAGGCGGAGTCCATTTCGGTCAAGACCTACCATTGACCTAAACTCAATCTCTTTCATCTTGCTAAATTTCACACAAAAACTCCTCCATTTGAGCCCTAATCCAACCTTGATTCTATTTTCAAGCATCTTATATATTGGTCAACCTATCAGCATTAGAGTCCTTCGAGCAATTTGATGTTCCATCTCACATACTCGATTTAAGGGCCATCTTCTTTCTTAAGTCCCAATTATCATTAAGTATTCATCCCCCAAATTTCACTTTGAATCCCCACTGTTCAACCCTTCATTGCACGTAGGTTTTATTTCAACCAGTCTCATAGGACAAAACCTTGCAACTCTAAATCTCCATCTTTTGCCTACCTTTGGGCTCATTAAATATTATCACAAGACTCAAAAACTCCTAAGACACACGTATACCAAATTTCACCCCAAATTCCCCCCATTTTCATGGAGAATGTAAACCTAGATATTATCTTTGTTTGATACAATGGTTGATCCTATCATGATGATCATCCACTGAAATAGCATCTCAATCTGTTCTAACATCCCAAGTATTTGATCCCATAAGGATCTTACTGATTGGCATATCGTAAATAAACCTGTTTGATACTTAATATAGTATCATTATCATGTTTGAAGATCAAGCACAATAATATTGACTAATCCATCAGTCTCTGTCTCCGTAGTCCATAATTAAACTATAATTAGTACTGTTTAGTGTTTCTCAAACAGCCGCTCATTGTACTTTAGGTCCAGTCCAAGAAATTAAACAAACTATTCCACGAATTTGGCAATACAGTAATATTAACTTTAGCATGATAAGTTTCCCAAATTTATCCGATGCCTGAGAATATTTAAACTTACATCATTACATGAACCTCATAAATGTACAATTAAAGAGTAATTTAAAGAATCATACCATGACACGTGAAATAATATGTAAACTGATTTTATCTATTAATAAATGTCATTAGACATCAAACTATTAGAGCTACGAACATATATTGATTGGTCAATTCTCTTCTGATTTAATGTATTTCTGTCAATATTAATATAGTAATTATATTGTAAGGTGTGATTAAAAAAAAAGAATTTTTTTTTTTTTGAGAGCAGAACTACCACATTAGCATCCATTGGGAAACCCCCCATTGGAATAGAGAACTATTCTCTTCTGATTTCATGTCTTTCCGACAGTATTAATTTTTCCCACATAAAATTAATACATACCTCTTTTCCCTTTTATCTTGCACATGTGTATAGCATATGCATTTATTTATTACACTAATATTATATAATATAATAAAATTAATATATTACTTTCTAAGTGTGTAATTAAAAAATAGATTTTGTAGAGATTCGGCATTTAAAATATCAACAACCTCAAGATCTAAATAATTACAAGAAAGAAACAGAAAGTTGGGGCAAAAGTTCTTTATTAAAACTCCTTCTAAGGACTCCCCCCCTCCCTCCCCAACTTTCTTTATTAAAACCAAATACGCAGACTAATAAGTGTTACGCAATAGCGGTTGGTCATCCAATGGTTTAGCCTTCTTCTCTAAGTTTTTGTATCCAATTGAAGTTGAACCAGAATCCTGTAGACATGTTGGTCGATTTATGAGGCAATAATCCATCTCTTGGTGGTTTTCTTGAACCAACGTATGAGCTTTAGATATTCTTAACCCCTCTAGCTCAACTGTWACTTCTTTCATCGTGGGTCTGTTTTTTCCATTCAAATCCAAGCACCTCTTTGCAAGGTTAGCAACCACCTCAATTTCTGCCTTTTCACCCTTCTTTACCACTTGTGCATCAAGAATTTCAAAGAGTCGGTTCTCCTCCATGGAAGAAAGAAAATAAGTGGCCAAGCTTTTATTCTCTCCTGGTCTAAAWGAAGAAATTGGCTTCTCTCCCGTTAAAAGCTCTACGAGAACTACTCCAAAGCTATAAACATCACTCTTCTCTGTAAATTGACTTGATTGGAAGTACTGAGGATCCAAGTATCCTAATGTCCCTTGCACTKCTGTGGTTAGATGAGTTTTGTCAACTGCAATMGGCCTTGAAGTCCCGAAGTCTGACACTTTGGCTCTATATTTATCATCCAAGAGTATGTTTGAAGATTTAACATCTCTATGATATATTGGGATAGAAGCTGCTGAGTGTAAATAAGAAAGTGCTCCTGCAACTTCAGTAGCAATTCTTAGTCGATTATCCCATGTAAATGGCATGTCGTCATCACTTCGATCATGGATGTGATTGAAAAGSGTTCCACTAGAGATGAACTCATAAACCAGCAGAGGAACTTCTGTTTCCAAACAACAACCTAACAATTTAACCACATTTCTATGATTAATCTTGGAAAGTATAACAAGCTCATTGATGAATTGTTTGATTTGACCTTCATCCACCATTTCCACCTTTTTCGACTTCTTAATCGCCACAATTCTTCCATCTGTTAACATACCTTTATATACTGTACCTTGGCCACCTTGACCAAGTATTCGATTCACGTTATAGTGATCTGTTGCCTTCTCCAACTCCTCAGCCTGGAATATCTTCGTGTTACCGAAATTACCTTCCTCTAAAGATATTTGTTGTTGTAGTAACAAACCGCCATTTTGTTTAAAGAAATGCTCTTTTATTTTCTTACTTCTTATTCTCTTATGGAGTTGGTATAGCCACAAGCTAGCAAAGAATGATACCAATAGAGCTAAACTTGAGCCAATTCCTGCATAACCATTARAAACCAAGTAGTTGAATAATAATTCAAGATAAATGAGATAATTTAACAAGAAATTAGTGCTATTTAATATAAGTTAATTGTATTTAACAGATTTTCTTCCTCTTAAATGAAGTTTATGATCCCAAATCTGTACTTGGATTTGGTTTTGATGAGGGCGGATTTGGCACTCCAATGACATTATGACACCTGGCACCTCATGCCAATTTAGTGCAGCCTCTTGACAAATAGACAGCTCGAGCTCGCCACAGGCAGCTTGCAACAGATAACTCGCCATCAGGTAACTCGCTATAGGGTAGCTTGGCATCTCGCAGAAAGCCCCCTGCCTGATAGGACCGTACCTGCCAAACCTGTAGACTGCACCCACGTCCCTCACCTGGCGGTGCAGTACCTGCCAAACCTTGAGGACTGCACTCTTGTCTCTCGTCTGGCGGTATCGTGCCTGCCAAACTCGGATGTTGTCTCCTGCCTAGCAGGACCTTACCCTACAACGGTCACATTAGCCCACCTGCTCCCCAATCCTGACGATAACAGCCAATCACTCCGAGGCGTTACCTGACAACAGATCGCTGTGACAGAGATTTGGGATCAGCCCCTCCAAACCCGCCAGAATGTTAGCATATAAAGACTTCAACCCCCAAGGGGCCAATGTATCGCATATTCACCACTCTCTAGCTCTCATCTTCTTGCGTAAACATTCTCTTTCTCAGTTTATTACCGCATTCTAATTTAAGTATCGGAGAGTCCCTGCCGGGTGTTCAACCCCATGTCCCTTCGTCCTTCTTGCAGGTATCTCTTGCCCATCGCCAGTTAGAAGCCTCGTCACTTCCAACTAGGAATGGCCGAATTGCGCATCATCAGGTTTCTTAACTTATTGTGTTAAGATCAATTTTCCAATCTATATCAGATAGTTAATCATGCATAGACATATTTTGGCTAAGGGGAATTTCCTGGGCTGAAATATTGCCAGTTATCTTGAAACCAATAACCTAAGTGGTTATTCGATCCCCTTTAAGTGCATTTGGTTATGTCTTTGCTAGTGGTACACTTACGATTCTTATGCCAATACTTCTGCCTTTTAAGCTAGTTATTCCATTTATTTTCATAAAATCAATATATATGACAAATTTCAGATACAATAGGTACTCTAATAACTAATAATCATGGTGGAAAGATATTTTATTGATGACAAGAAACTGGTGTAAAAGTTATTTTATAACGTTTTTTGTCAACATATATAAATGCTTAGAACTTCTAATAATTAAGGTATGCACGTCATGGCTAAACCTTAAGATCCCATGATCTCATTTCTAAAATACCCCTAAATTCCAATAGTTTCATTTTTAAAATACCCTAAAATTCTCATGATCCCATTACTAAAAGTACTCTTAAATTTGATTTACTTTTAGGTGGTTGCCATGGTTGATGGAAAATTTGAGGATTCCTTGTTGGTGGTGCGTCGACTCAAACTTGCCCTGCCATAGGGAATGGAGCGGGGATGGGGTGGTGGATTTTGTCTATAGTGTAGAGATAGGGAGGGGATGCCTTGCCCCATTGCCATTCCTAATCAATCAAAATTTATTCAAATTGGTAATTAAAAATTTATATTTTCTTGACCCATCTTCTTACTATAATGTTCACCAAATTTCATCATCAATAAAAATAGTGGTGTAGGACCCAAAATGCCCCATGGAAAGAGTGATAGATTTTATAATGACAATATTAAAATATTATTTGTAATTATAATAAAATTTTTTTATTAATTTTTAAGTTTTATTACTTTACTTTTATTATTTGTCTTATTGTATTATTTTTTTATCTTACTAGTATTTTAGAATTTTTTATTCCTCTTATTTCAATATTTAAGTTTTGATTCTATTTTATATTGCATGCTCAATGAACAATCTAATTCTAACGTCTTTGTCCCTCCCATTCTATTTCTATCCCTATCTTTCTCCAACAAAATATAGATAGAGAGGTATGAAAGGGATAGAGAGAATAGAATTACATGGTTCATTGAGCATGCAAGATAAACTAGAAGATGTTTTAGGAGGAAGTTTTAAGTGGACAGATAGTGTAAGAGAAATTTTAGGAGAGGAGATGAATTAGGTGATTGGAAATGCATGAAAGAGAGAGAGAGGAGGCAAAGCTTAGGACGATTTTTATGATTTGATTTGAATTGTTGAGAGGAAGGATGATATGGCCTAATAAGATAGGTTAAACCCCTAGTGACTTGACTTAATAGGAGGCCAGGGAAGGGGTTAAACCCCTAGTGACTTGACTTATAGTGTAGTATACATGTGGTTTATTTATTTGGGTAAATTGTTAAACCTCCCTGAAGTTTTTGACTGGTGTTACTAGTTGAAACCTCCCATAAAGTTTGATAATTGCAATTATCTCCCCTGAATTTTATACATAGTCACAAGTAGACCCCCTTTGTTAGAACCCTCTGACAATATCCAAAATACCCATGCAGTATTGAGTCTAGGTTTTATAGAAAAAAAAAAAAACAATACAAACTTTCTGAACGAAAAGAAAGACGAGTTTAAAGTTGTAGCTTTACCTTTGAGTGATTGATGTGAAGGCCAAATTGGAAACATAAATCAATTTCAGAAAAGAGTTTGGAAGGGTTTAGGGTAGCAATAGATATGAAGAGAAAATTTGGAAAATAAACATTTTGGTTCAAAGTAACAACATGGGTATTTTGAACATTTTCTTGTCTCCTCTTAGAGGATTTTAACCGAGGGGTTCTATTTACAAATGTATTAGAAAGTTCAAGGGAGATGATTGCAATTACCAAACTATAAAGGAGATTTAAGCAATGTCAAAAACTTTAGGGAAGGTTTATTCAAATTACCCTACTTATTTTGAAATTAAAATATAAGAGAAGTCACAACAAAGATGCTATTTTATTTGATATCCTCAAATAAAATCAACCATATCTTCTCTTTTCTTCTTTGGATTTTTATTTCTTTTAATTTCTTTTAATATAAGTATCTATTGGATATCATCATCTATATCACTTCTAAATACCTGATATTTACTTAGGATAAAACAAAAGTTAATTGATATTTTATGACTTCAACACTTCATGCCAGTGTGGTATTGTGAAGTCAGAATCTTGTCAGGGTTCAACACATCGTGCCAGTGTGGTATTGATATGTTTTCCTGATAAACTTGCTGGGACCCGTGTGATGCACAGGAAAGTCTCAAAGATTTAATAATTTTATTTTTCATTTAATGTTGATTTAATATGAATAAATATTTTTAATGAATTTAGTTTTATTAATAATTTGTAGTATATAAAAGATAACATTTTTATTAATTCCACTAATAATTAACAATTATATAGGAATGACAACGGGGTGGGTTCAAGGCAGGGCACTCCATCCCTTTCCCTACCCCATACTCAAGACACCCTACCCCATCCCCGCTCCATCCCCAATGTTATGTGGGCTCAGGGCAAGGTAACCCACTCCTCAATGTCAGGCGAGTTCAGGGAAAAGACGCCCCACTCCTCATCAAGTATGGAGAATTCTCGAATTTCCATACCCCGTCCTTAGTATTGGGCGGGTTCAAGTAGAGATGTAAATTGGGTCATGCTGGGATGGCACAACACGACCCACATGTGGCCTGCACAAAATGCGAGTCGTGTTGTGTTGGCCCATGAGGTGTCTCAGGCTACGCCTCCCTCCTCTAGGACAATTTGGGGGGTCGGTTTGGCATGGCTCACGCGTGGATCGAGACCGCACTACCCTGGGTTGGGCTGGTCCATGTGTCGGGCCTTTGGTTAGGCCATGCCACACACCAAGCCAAGCTCAAGGCAAGGCACCTACTCCCTATCCAAGGTTTTTATTAAATAATTTATTTTCTTTTTAAATGGTTTATTTATAGAATTATACCAATTTATCTTATTATTTCTAATATAAACTAACCAATAATTTCCTTTTTCCAATATTATACAAATTTATCATAATAATTTGTGTAATTATTTGTTCAAATTATAGTTTTTCATTTCCCATAGTCATTTATCTTTAATAATTTTCAATAATTTGCAATGAAAATTACATTACTTTTCAATGGTTTTCAAAAATATATCAAATGTAATAAATTTTCATAAAATTTCCAAAATATTCTAATAGTTTTCAAAAATTATTTAATGCATTTTAAATAAACATTTAAATAATTTATATCTTTTAATTTCAAAAATGTTATTTTACGAAAATGTAGTTTTATGAGATTTTTTGAAAATTTTATTACATTTATGTAACTATGGGGATATATTGAATTTCTTTTTAAATTGTTATTAAATATATATTTTCTTTGGTAGTTTACTAACAAAATTACACTAATTTATCTTTTATTTTTCAATATAAATTAATTAATAATTTCATTTTATAACATTATAATATTTTGTTCCCCCATTTGTATTTGGTTTTTAATTATAATAATAATAATAACTGGAATTTTATACTTTTTGATAGTTGTTAAATATAATTCTCAATTTTATAGAAATTAGTTAAGAAGTTTGCACTTTCTATAAAATGTTGTTAATGAGTTAATTAATAACAATATCTATTAATTTTTGGTAATTTACTAACCGTATTTATTTACTTTTGGTAATAACACAATTTAATACTTATTGAATATGGGTGGGATTAAATATTAACTGTATTTAATTATTTCTTAATTTATATGAATAATTTAAGTAAGGGAGAGTGGATATAGATGGGGGGATGCATTTTAGAAATTGATTAGGGAGTGGGGCAACACGATACTTTCCTATTGGTTTAAATAAGATACTTTAGTTGAGAGATTATATGAATATTTTTAGGTAGTTGGGCAACATGGATTAATGGGAGTGGTGGGAAGGGGAGAGGAGAGAAAGTAAAAAAGAATGCATAGTGGGGATAATGGAGGGAAGCATGGTGATGGGGACCCATGCAGGGGATTTGTTAAGCTAAAGTTAAACTATAGAAATATATATGAGTATATAATTGTTTTATATTTTAACATTTTAATAAACACTCTGACCAAACTCAATTAGAGTTCATTCGGTTTTTTAGAATTTCAGATTGGCTTTGTTTTAATAAATACATATTAATATTTTATATTTTAAATTTAATTTCTTAATACTGAAAAGTAGGAAATTTCTCATATTTCTTAGTCTAAAATATTTTATATCATAGACTTAATTTGGTAATTTATTTTTTAATAATATCATTGTAATTTATGAAATTTATGAAATTTAAAGTTAATTTTTAATTTTAAATCTTTTGAACAAACAAATTAAAACAAAAATAGACCCGAATTGATAAACCCGAGTTGGTGGGTTTTTAGTAATGATCAATCGGTTTCGAATGACAAACTACGGACTTGACCAGCTCGATTTGGTTTGCAAAGCAACCTGCAACTGAACTAAACCAATCATTGGACACTCCTAATTTCAACTAAATTTATAGTCTAATCTCTAATAAACAACAACAATTTCATGATGAATTTTGTAAAAATATTGAATTATTAATAATATGAATATTATTAAATATATTAATTTTTGTTTTTTGAATAAATATTTTAAATTTAGATATAATTTTGTTATAACATTTAAATAGTTATAAAATTTTTTAATTGAAACTTTGTTTAGATAGATATAGATAAAAAGTGGGGTGGGGGTGGGGGGAGGATAAATAGGAATTAATAGTTTAGGAGAGAATCTCTCTACTAAATTAGAGATAATTTAAGAGATAAATAGGAGTTAGAGATAATTCAGGAGGTAAATAGGAATTAGAGACAATTTAGGGGGAAGTGGGGGAAAGTGATGCCACTTAAAAACATTAGAAAAGTTTTATGGTTGTTAGAAATAGTTAGGTATATGTGATTTCCTTATTTGTTTAATGGTTAATTATGTGGAATTAAAACATAAAAAATAAAAAAAAACAGAAAATCAGGAAGTGGGTTTCTTGCAAAGAGAGCTATGCTGACATTAAAACAAAGGGGTCAAGAAATTTTCTCATTTTTTCTCATTTTTTGTTTTTTATTCCATGTCAATTTTGAAATAACCAATCAGATGCACTTTCCCAATAACCTAAATAATCTCTTCTCCTAAAATTTATCATAAACCACTTCCCCCACTTTTTCCAATATTATCTCTAATTCCTATTTATCTCCACAATTATCTCTAATTTTGTAAAGAGTTTTTCTCCTGAACTATCTCTAATTCTTATTTATCCTCTCCCCTACTTTTTATCTATATCTATCAAAAGAAAGTTTGGATTAAAAAAATTTAAGAATTTTTTAAATATTCTAACAAAATTATATAATAACACTAAAATATTTATTAACACAAAAATAATTTTATATTTTTACCAAATATATCAGAAAGTTATGTAATAACAATTTAAATTAATTTTTTTCAGATTATCAATTTAAAATCTTTTCAAATATTTAATAATATGTAATAACTTTAAATAAATAAAATTCAAATAACAAAAAATTTAAATGTTTTATAGATTATTTAAATATGTAAATAACTAAATATTTTTCATAACTATATTTAAATAGTTAAAATATTGAAATTATCTAATAAATAATTTTATATTTTTACAAAGTATACCATGAAATTAGGTACTAACAATTTAAATTATGTTTTTTCTGGATCGTCAATTTAAATGTTTTCAAAAATTTAATAATATGTAATATCTTGAATCATATAAAATTCAAATAACAAAAAATTTAAATATTTTATAGATTATTTAAATATTTAAATAACTAGATATTTTTCATAACTAGATTTTAAATAGTTAAAATAACGAAATTACATAATAAATTAAAAAAAAAATCTTCAAAGCAAAAAAATAATTATAACATAATATTGAAAATAATAATAATATAATAAATTACAAAATTAGTAATGAAATCATGTAATAATGGTATAAATTATGATTTTATGGATAATTAAATTCCATCAATAACTAATATTTTAAAATTTATATATGTTACATATTATTTAAGTATTTAAATAATTGGGTATTTTAAATAACAAAATATTTAATATTACTAGATTTTAAATAGTTAAAATAAAGAAATTATGTAATAAGTTAAAAAAATTCTGAAAAGTAGAAAAATAATTATAACATAATATTAAAATTTTTAATAATTTAATATTTTTACATAATAATATAAATAACTAATTTCACAAATATCAAGTAATAATTCGGGAAAATAACTTTCAAAAAAATTAATACTTATTAATAATAATTTTAAACTCTTAATCTGTATTTATTGTATAATTATATATACTAAAATTAATATTTATTGTATTTTAGTAATTATTTATTATTTTTGTGATAAATGTATTTTTAATATATGTATAAACTTATTTTGTTTTGTTATTTAACAGAAAACTTTCAGTAATTATTGGAGATTAAATTATTATTAGCGAAATTTTTAAATTTAATTTATTGTACTTATTGTGTTTTTGTTATAACTTATTGATTAATATTTATTCGAGATTTTACTATTTATTGACTAAGTTAATATATTTTTTGTACTTATTGTATTTTTTTCATTGTCAATATATTTTCAATAATTGTGTATTTTTGCTATAAAATTTTAATAATTATTGGATATTAAACTATTGTTATTTATCAGAGATGAGAATATTAATTTAGCTAAAATTATGAGCGTTCATGAGTAGGTTCGGTTTGTTCATAGGTTATTTGGCCAACCAAATTGACCTGGTCAAGTTGGGGAGTTGGTTAGGTGAAACCAACTAACCTTTTGTGAAAACCAACTCACTCCAGTTGTATTTGTTTGGGTCGATTTTTGGGTTTGGCCAATTGATTCAAAAGATTTTAACTTTTAAAATTAAATTAAATTTTAAAAATTATAGTGTAATTATTAAAAGATAAACTTAAAAATTATATTTATGATATAAAACATTTTAGAATAAGAAATATAAGAAATTTCTCACTTTTTCATATTATATTTAAAATATAAAATACTAGTATATATCTATGGTTACGTTGTCTGATTTTGGTTGGTTTACAAATGGCCAAAGTGAAATTGATCCAACTTGGTCGAATTAGAAAATTTTTGAACCAAAGCCGACCTAAAATACTAGAAAACTGACCAACTTGGGTCGAATTGATTGGGTTGGCCGGTTTCATCAATTTGATGAATAAACCTTTCATTAAGGTGTGTTTGTTTTGCCATTAGGCCCATGATTTTTTATTCCAAAAATACCTTTAACACATGTTTTTTGTACAAAGAATAAAATTAACAAAATATATCCAATTGAGTGGTTGCCCATGTCTTATAAAGGGCAAAAATGATATTTTTATTTTTATTTTCTTCTAGTTAAATTTTTTTAAATGAATATTAGAGTCAACACTGTCATTTAATGAAAGATTGATTAAATCCATTGCAAATTATAAGTGGTGTTTAAATAATGTTTTAACAATAGGGTAGATATTAGTAAATCCTTGAAACTAGAAGGGATATTTTAGCAAATGACATTTTCTATTATTTTGCTTATATATATATATATAGATGTTATTTAGAACACCCAAAACAGTTGTTTCTCCACTCAACCAAACTGAAAATGAGGCTCCATTGCAAGAAATCACTACTTGATGCTAAGCTTGCACCATTTTTCCGATTAACAGCAATTAATGATACAAAACACCCCTGAAATAAGGCAAACAACCCTCAGACCCAACGGCGCACCAGCACAAAATTTATACATGCTCCAGCGCGCAGAAAACTCGGAACTTTTTACAAATCCAAAACGAATTAGTATTAAAATTCACAGGGTACAATTAACTAATTATCCCCGGTTTCATTACGATGACTTTTGGGGAAGGAAAATTTTAAAATTGGAACTACAATATATTAATATTACCTGTAACGATCGCAAACGTTTGACTTTGGATTTTAATGCAACCAGTACCAGATCCTCCCTTGAAGCCGTCTCCGTAAGTCCCCTCGGGACACAAACAATTGTAACTTCCCAGTGTATTTAAGCACATATGTGTGCAGTTATTGTCTTCCTCGCATTCATCAATGTCTACATTCAAAACCAGCCATGAATGGAAGTTATTAATTCTTAGTAGGGTGAAATGAATTGTGAAAACAACAAATTATTAAGAGAGGTCGCCATCATCACCTTGGCATCCTTGGGGTAGATAAGGGTTCCCCCGGTAACCTTGCTTACAGTGACAATTATAGCCGCCGGTGGGGTTGGAGGAACCGGAGCAACCGGTGTTGTCTCCACAAGCGTAGCTCGTCTGATTCTTTATTGCATAGGTGCAGTTGTCGTCGGGGATTACCCAGTCCAGCACCACTGGAGTTACAGCAATAGCTCCGTCATAACGGACCGGAAGTCTCTTGGGGAGATCCTTGAGGTCGGGTGAGGAGAAATTAAACCAATCTTGGTCAGCCAGGAAGGCGTAGCTGCAGGGGTTGAAGTCCAACGAGTAGGTGTGGTTGTAAAAGCTATCGAGGCTGAAGTTAAAGGTATGAAGACCATTTGGAATGGAAGTCTGGCAGCATCCTATGCCGGAACAGGAGCCATTAATCAGAGTTTCGTTGCTTGTACAAAATGAGACGCAGCCGCTTGTAAAAGAATAACCTGATGATAATGAACTCGACATGTAGGCCTTGGTGTCGCAACCGATAGCCGTGAATTTGGTTCGGGTGCTCGAGAAGCTGAATTGCTTTGCCAGGTTGATATCTATTTTCGGGAACCCGTCAGAGGTTCTACCACTTTGATTGTAACAGTCCATAGCAATCGGGAAGTGGACGGTGGTTTGGCATTCTAACGATATATTCCGGAAGGGTAGATTTCATCCATGGGAATCAAGAAGCACTGGATCGTCAGATGAACTAACGTTGTTACAGAGCAATCGGAAAGATGGGTCTCTGAAACAGTCTGAATCATCATTTCCAACTCCAAAGGGATAGGGGATGATCACTTCCCCACATTTTTCTTGGCAGCCAGGCTTCGCCAAACTCTGAGAAGAAGTTGATGCCGCATTCATCCAAAGGATTGTTAATACGACGTTAAGAACAGATACAATCTTCCAATCCATCTCTCTCTCTTTCTCTGCAATCGTGCGACCTTATTTTTCTGTATCTGGTTTTAGGTAGATGAAGAAGAGAGATGCTCGTAGTGGTATATATATACGGCTTTTTAGAACTCTGTGTAATGACGGAGACACCCCAACTGTTATGACATTACCTAGTAGTCCTTATATATAATTTTTCTGCTAGCTTTGAAAGCAAAAGYAAAAAGAAGGAAGAAATCAATTTTAAGCGATATCTAATTTGGATTAATAAATACAAAAGATTGTATATTCTAGCATATGGAACCCAGTGGTTGGAATGTTGGATCAAATTCATTAATTGGATACCATTTTGAATGGCTTCTATTAATGTTGATCATCCAATCACTATTTATTGATGTACCGCGATCCGGTCACTCCTATCTGGTATTCATGTGGCTCTTGAAAAATATCTGAGATGGAGAAAAAGAAGAATCCCTTGGGGGTTTGTTCGACGGGGACACTCTGATGCTTAAGTTAGTACTCTATGGAAGCAAAAAGGTAAAAGCTAAGAGTGCAGATAGCGCGTTATAAATATTCTCGAAAGATTAGGAGTCTCTAGAAGAAGTTTCTCTTCTGCCCTGAGGGCTTTTATAGGGGCGTTCATGTCAGGTCGGGCATAACCGCCACTGGGCTCCTGCCATAGCCATTACCTGCTAGGGCTGTGCAGGTGGCCGTTGTGACGTACTTCTTGCCCGGGTGAGTGACACGTCTCCAAAGTGGCAGGCACACCTCCCCCTGCTGAGAGACGTGGACGCAGACTATTGAAATGACAGGGACTGCACCATCAGTGAGGGACGTGGCACAGTCGGTTCGGTACGACCTGTCAGATAGAAGCTTCCTGAGGAGTGCCCACGTGGCTCTTTTGTGAGCTACTTTGCAGCGAGCTCGGAATACTTCAGGATTACCCTAAATAGAATTGGTCCTTCGGATGACTTGTCTGCTTGGGAGCTCGAGCGAGCTAGTTCCCCTAGCTCGCGAGCCAAAGTTGCCTTGGAGTATACCTTCAAAGGTAGCTCGGGGAACCTGGAGCTCGTGTTGTGGCGAGCTCCTCCTTTTGTGAGCTACAATGTA